AAACCACAAAGCTAATTTCTTTAAAAAATTAATGTCAAACAATAAAATCAAAACAAAAATAAACTAAAAAAAGATGTTAATCCATGTTACCTTTTTAGACATGTGACTCAAGTCATTCGATTAGAAACATCAGGCCATAAATCTCAATCCTCAGCAAATTAAACATTGAAAGATGAATTAAAAAAAATCACATAAAAGGATTTAAAATTAAAAAATAGCAATTAAAAGAATCAGGTTTAAAATAAAAAATAAAAAATAAAAAAAATAAATTAAAGGGTACCTACAAATTTTCTTTTGAATGATTAAGTTGAAAAGAAAATTAACTTTAACAAAAAAAAATTCAAAAGAATTGACCATAAAATTAAATTAAATGAAAAAACTAAAAACCAATAATTTTTTTATAAAATGAATAAGGAGAAAATTTAAAAGTAAAAGATAAAATTAATTACCCATAAAAAATAATAAAAATATCTACGTTTATAATTTTTCTATCCTAAGTATATCTTTTTATTTCATTAAAATAAACTCTAAATATGGCTAATGAAATATTATTAGCTACTCTTTCACCACCATAAAATTACTAAAATAACAACATCCTGTTTATTTTTTTGTAACGGGTAGTGGGGTCTTGTTATCTTAAAAACTGACAATTTCCCCCCCTTTTTTTTATAGTAAAATTTCCCTTTTTCTTAATTCAAGCATGAAAGACATGTCATGTTGCTGGCTATGAGCTATATATAGTCTTTGATTTTAATTCCTAGGGAACAAGGTGGAAGCAATTTTAAAAACTTTCCAAGGATAGATAGACGTGACGATATTAAAATTTTGAAAGACTCTATAATAAAAGAGTCCCAACTGAAACCTATCACAGATTTTATTGTAATTTAATAGGTCAATATATATTTCTTTTATAGGATTAATGCCCTTGTACTCCTTTTTAATTGTTTGTTAAGATATTATCATTTCGTTCAATTTCATTATATATATATATATATATATATATATATATATATATCAGGAATCTGTGTATTAATTGATAAAAGCATTATTTAAAGATTAATTAAATAAAAAAACCCAAAACAAATAGGAACTTATCATAAGTTTAAATACAAAAACTGAGAACCAATATTTAACAAACAATATACATCAAAAATAAATAAATTAAGACAATAGAATATAATAACAAAAGAAAAGGAAGAAATCTATAGAAACATTTGTATAAGAACAAAACATATGATTAATTCTGCATTTATGTGTGCAAAATGATTCAAGACGAAATGAGTTTGCCAATGGAAGTACCCTAACCGTCCATGCACCCTAGCATGCATATGGGTGGACATTATTCGAGTTAGGTCTTCCAGAAATTGGTAATTCCCTCAAAAAGCATAGAGATCTCTATCAAATATTGATGTGTAGTGTCCCAGAGAGATGAACTGAAATTATAATAAATCCTTCAAAACGATGAAGAAATCAGTTCTGGCTAAATGAAGAAACTCAATCATGAAATTGACCCACAGGAAGAAGCAAGCAGAGGGTGGATTGATGCTTGACAGGTTGCCGACGAACTTGTTTTCGAATTTATTCTCTGAGTTAATTCCCTCTCTTCTCCATCGCATCATTATAGCACTGAATTAGACTTTTCAAACTACAATTTTTTCTTGCTTGTGATATGGGAAAGTTAGGCTGATTTATATGTACTCCTTCATATATGCTTATTGAACATGAGAAAAAAATATTATTTTATATTTTCAACTATGTTAGCTTTAACTATGTGTTGATATAAATAATTTATTTGATATATGATTAGTTTAATAATTTATTTTATTTTTAAATATATTTTTAAAAAATAATTTAATAACTAAGTGAATCATAATTTAATTATATTATATTATTAAAAATTAATTAACGTTTTTTAAGCATGAGTAAAAGTCTTCTTTTAATATGACTTTGATGACTAGATAGATTGCTATTTTATGTCAGTTTTAAAAAAATTAATGTCGATATTGTAAACTAAAGTGGAAATAATGATCGCTATTTATTATTTCAAATATTCCAATTTTGATTTTAATATATATTAAGAATAATAATAAAATTTTATATTTTGTTCTATCTTGTACATTATCAACCTAATATAATATAAACGTATTCACTCTGATTTATATATCACTATATTAAAGATACCTTCACCTGTCTTTTATTTCATATTTTCACCTTTAATCAGTTGTTTCTGTCTCTCCTTTCTCACAATAATTAAATGACTAAATTTTATTATATTAACCAAAGGTTACTCTTCTTTCTGCCTAGCAACCTCCATTCATACCTAATCATCACACATAAGAGGCAATCAATTTTTGAACCATTTTTTTTTAGCATAGTAAATTTTTTTTGATGAAATAACATTATATAAAAAATATTTAGAAAAATAATACAATTTAGAGAGTTACATAAAACATATGTGATTCACAAATAACAAATATCATTTGTAACTCATTTAAATTGTAAAATTATTAGATATAAAATTCAATTTAAAGATATGCAAAAGGTGAGAGAAAAAAAAATAATTTTTTTTTAATATATTGAAACTCTGATTACATAATACTTAAAAAATCATTGATGATTCATTTTAATATATTTTTGATAAAAATACTTTAAAAAGTAATTTCTATCATATTTATAATAAACTCTCTAAGTGAAAACTACCTTATCTATACCAAATTAAATTAGAGGATTCAACAAATTAACAAGATTATAACTTGGTTTACCCTTTCTAAGCAAAAAATGAAAACTAGAGACAATTAATTGCACTATCTGCCCTCCCAGGTCTTTTCATAAAGCCAGTGAATTAGAACTTAAAAAGTACTAAAAATGGTCTCACGAGAAACTTGCCCTATTAATGTTGCCGCCTGTTCGTTCAGGGAGAGATTCCCTCATTAATGTTGGTGGTCTTTCTGGTTCGCAATTAAGACAGTGAATATCGCCTTCCATTCGTTGCCTCCCTTAATTTTCTTTTTTTTTTTCTTTTTTTTTTTAATTTTACCCTCCTTTTGCTTTTTAACCATGAACACCCATATTACAATCTTGCCCAGCCGAACATTATTTATGCAGCGAGGGGCTAGAATTTAATATTTTGACCTGCTCCATCTGCTATCAATCCGACCAATCAAGTGAAATGGTTGAGGGACGTGTTTGTGCTTCTTACACGTTGAGGTTTAAACTCAAATTAATTGCTAAGGTAATTTCTTAAGAATTTTCTAGCCTCAAAATGATATAGCAGGGCTAGAAAATAAAATTTTATGTTGGAGAGGGCAATAATAAATAGGGGAGTTAAGAAAGAATCATTTTCATACACGAAAGTGACATGAAATTAGAAACTGTAAAGTAGCCTTTTCTCATTCGAAGAAGACAATTTTATATATAATTTTAGAATCTATCTGAAACAGTCATTAAACTTTTAAGTGTAGTGTTGAACTCTGAGGGTGTGGTGGCTCTCATCTGTATCCCTTGGTCCACTCCTTATCCCACTTGGTGGCTCCTTGTTGACAAATTGAAAAGGCAGATTATTGAGGAATGCCAGCGACAAGGAAAAGAACACTATAGTCTTATTTCTGTGATGTTAATTTGGGGGTTTCCTTGAAGTGAAAGTTCATGGTTTTATTTTTATTTCTGGATTTCTCGCAAGGTTATTACTTTTTAGGCTTAGATTTACTGTAGAAGAGAAAAGGATGGAGGGAGAATAATGGATTTAAATGCACTGGCCCAGCTTTCTGCTTTGGTAGTCGCGGTTTTAAATGCTCATGCAGGCCCTCTTGCCCTCTTAAATCCCACCCCAGACATTCTCACCTCTCCCTCACACCTAGCTAACCATCTTCCAAGGAAACAAAAAACCTCCCTCTCTTCCTCTCTGATCATTTTGATCTCTTGTTATCTTGATGGAACTTTCCCATTTCTCTTGACAAGGAAAAGAAGGGATTGTTTACCGTGTTGAAATCATGTGGAAGAGTGACTATGATATTGGCCTGGTTCACTCAGATCACGACTTCAAAGCAAAGTGTCTTTGTTCTTCTTCTTCTTCTTGTTTTATGATCGTGTGATTTGATTGAGCCGTGCCAATATCTCAGTACTCTTTCATGTCTCTCCAAGTCGATCTCCAAAAACACTATTCCACTAGAACAATTGATGGTTTGCATAATCAATGCTTGACTAGCTGTTACAACCAGATTTCTGTTTGATAACTGTTTTTGTTTTTTCTCTTAGCATCTCGTCTTAATTTCCTTTAACATTGTAATAGCAGGATTTGTAATCAAGACCTTGTCTGTATTCATTCATTTGTCGAAGGAAAAATAGTGTCGCTTGACTAAATACATGGTATTCTGTCGTTTCTTATTTTATAGCTGTGGATGTTTGTATTTTTCTGATGCAGGAAAAGATTCTACGTATCTTTTCATCAATGACATGAAGCTGAATCATATCCCGAGAAGCGTAGCAGGGAACTCTGGTGGGAACTGAAGCATGCTAGTCTTATACAAAGTTTATATCCTAAATCACTTTTTGAAAATAATTCCCGAATTGATATGATAAAACTAGTATTGTTATATACATAGGTGTTGATATTAATCACATCTGAGACACACACACACACACTGTGTGTATCTATATATATATATATATATGATCTTACTATTTTGAAAGAGTGCTAATTCTCTCTCTCTCTCTCTCTTTTCGTTTTAGTTTTTTTCATTGATCTAATGATGCCCCACCTTGATGATATGATTTAGAATTTAACAGGATAAGTCCCAATCCAACTTTAAGGCAAGTGAGATGGGAGATGGTCACCTTCTAGTTAGATCTCAGAGAGGGTCTCTAGCTAAAAATGCTGGTGAAAGTCAAATGGCCCTTAATAGGATCCTTTAATGCATGGAATCATAGACAAAGAATAGGAGGAAGGATGCCCCATATTGAGAATCTCAACTTGAGGGTGCACAAAAAACGTCATTTTCCCCCCCTTGAAAAGCTAAAACTAGCTCTAGCCATGACGCAAATGGAGAGCCCTTCCCGTCCACAAGCTAAATTAATGCCGTGGAGCTAGGGCAAAGGGCTTGATGGACGTTCTTGCGTGTTGAGGGAGGTCTCGGGTCACATAGTATATGTCACTAACAATCAAACAAGATTCAACTTTAACTTTCCTGGATTGTACTGATCTTTTATTTAGATCTGTATATTGACCAAGAACTTCAATTTTCATCATGTAAAACGTTTTATCAATATTCTAACAATTACCTTGTCCGACCTTTTAATTTCAAGTATTATACCTGTCCTTTGATTTTTTTTTTTTAAAAAAAAAAGTTAATAAAATAAAGCGATGGATGTAATATCATTAAATGTATGTAGGGGAACAATGAACAATATATTTTTCACTTTCTGTACGTTATTTTATATATATATATATATATATAATTTGTAAAGTAATGAGGAGAAAGTAGGTTCCACCGTGCTATTACACATATATGTGAAATTTGAAAAGCCTGCCACTCACAATATTTCATAGTATTTCTCCATTAATTAAAAACCGTCTGAAGCTTGCGAATCCCAAATTTTTTAGAAATCGTTGCGTAGATAACCAGTCGTCGTCATGCACGGACTAACTAACGAATAAAACACACACACATACACTCATATATTTTAAAACCATAGGGAATTCATGTTGAGATCGCATTCATATGGAGAACAAGGCCGATTGCAGTTCATTCACAAGGCAGAAATTGTTTTGCCTACGGATTAGCAACTCTTACGGCTCTCTTCTACAATATATAACATTAATTTTTTAGATTAACATGGGTGTCTGGGCCAGCTTGCGCGTGCCACGACTAATCCCACGGGCCCTGAAGTTAACGACCATGTAAATCTCCAGTGGCCATCATATGAGCAACCAAGGATTCAAACTTGATACAATATATAACATTAATTGTTTGATTAATTGATAGTATGGACTTCATTTTTAAAACTTAATTATGTGACAATTAATCCTAGTCTCGCATTAATTCTTGCATTTAAATTATGTAATGCTACATCCCAACAATCTCCAATTCCATCATCCACTATCTATGAGTTCTTACCATATTTATCCCATGAAGGATTAAGAATGTATTGATCCCTGCCTGAAAGCTTCTACGTTTAACGTAAACTGTAGAGATTTGCAGTACTCAGCTTGAAACTCCCAGTCAAATTGATGCTTCTTACAACTCCAGAACCGAACCAGATGCCACTAACCTTACATGGTATGACATTATTGCCATAGGTTTACATTTTTCTTTGCATAATCTCCTACCCAATTATTGCTTCTAACTGTACTATTATATTCAAGAAGCAATTCAGGATGAGTTGAAAGACGGAATCGTAATTATTATATGAATGTATTGTATTAATAAATTTATAGGAGTTAGTTTGAGAATATACCACACTAGTCATAAACAAAACACAAATACAGTTTAATTAATCAATTTTTGAGAACTTCAACAAAAGGCATCTTAATTTCTAACGTAGTAAAACACACACACAATATCTTATATCATAATTATGTCATTCATGACAAATTTATTCCCATCAAAAGTTTTGTTAACTAAAATATTAGACATAACTTGGTATCACCCTTGCTTAACACATGTGGGCTGTTTATTTGATTTTTACTAGATGTGTTGTGTTATCTATGCCGTGCCGTGCTGTAGATCAAATTAATTTTTATATAAAAAAGTGTTAGGTTATCAAATTAATTTTTATGTAAAAAAGTGTTAGCTTAAAAAATTCAAGTATCGAGTTATTGATGATTCAAGTGATAATATAAATAATAAGAAAATAATAATAATAATAATAAATAAACTGATAAAAAAACAATGAATTTAAAAAAAAAACACATGAGCTTATCCGGATTATCATATAACTTAATGCTAACTAATTGAAAAAAACCACAAGAAAGAGTACAACTAAAAAAAAAAGGCAAAAAACATTAGTTTAAAAAAAGAGAGAAAACCAAAAAAACTAAGACGAACTTTCTAAACTTAATTTAATTTAAAAAACTTGCAACTCATTAAGTTTTAGACCTGAGTTCAATCAAGAAACTTAAGTATCTTTTAAGTTAATTTTGAAAGATGAAATCATTGAAAAACTATTAATAAGAAAAAAACTTGCAAAGAAAAGAAAAAAAATAACAAAAAGAGTGAGTATAAAATTCGAGAGAAAAACACCTAAAAGGGATGAAATTTGGAAAAGAAAGAAAGAAAAGGAATGATACTAAACAAACTAAATAGTAATTAAAAGAATAAATACCAAATTTGAAAGATTAAAAAATCACAAAGGAGAAAACTGCAAAACATTTATAATTTGATAGATTAATTATAGATTAAAAAATGGTAGGGGTTATATTGAGAAATATCACAGAGTGCTAATCCAATAGAATAAAAATAAGAAAACATAAGCGTTAAAAAAAGAAGAAAAAACAAGCAAATTTAAGCGTACTTTCTAAACCTGATCCAATCTTTAAAACCTAATAAAATTCTAAACTTAGGTTCAATCAAGAAACCTGATCCAATCATGTGGTGCAACCTTTGAAAGTGTTTTATATTTCAAAGTATTACTTTTCCATCAACCTAAAATATTTAATTTATCATCATTAGGATCCTTACAACCATCAATCAAATACCTCTCAACCTTATTTTTATTTTCTGTACTATCCAACTTATGTAAATATCTTTTGAATCAAGCCAAAATATTAATATCTACCTCCATATCATCAATAGCAATAACATCTTGTTTATGCATATTATTATCCACCATTTCATAAATTTTCAAATAAAACTCATACAAGTTCACTAAAGTATCTTTCAACTTATTTGTTAGCAATTGTATTTTATCATAATCATACAAATCACCAAAATAAAATTTCACATATTTCAACTTGAAACGTGATCTAAGATATTAGCCATATATAACAAAAAACTTTTGATTTATTTTACAACTCCAACACTTCTCAAACTTTAAAATCATATTCACCATTATTCCACTTAAAAGATTATCTTTATTTTTACACAATTGCAATAAATTTCTATGCATGTAAATCAATTCAATGAAGGAAGAATTTGATCTGACATGTAATGAGCCACAAAAAATATCAATGTAACTATATAAACGATCTTAAAAAACTTCATCAAAGTTCTATGATTTTCCCAATCCTTCAAAATAGATGGCCCTATATTTTTTTATTCCCCTTTGAATCAATCTTCAAAAAGTAACTTATATACTAAGGTCTTTTTCACCTAACCTCACAAACATCTTTTCAAACTTTTCAGCAGCTTCTAGTATAAGATAAGTTGAATTCTGGTTAGTACTTAAAAGTGTATATTTTTCAAGGTTTTATATCATTATTTTACACTTGAAGTATTAATAACTTTTTAACTAAAGTATGTTTTATAATAATATATCTAATAATATAAGATACCTTTAATTTCTGTTAAATGTTCATTTTAAATGCAGGCCTATCACATAAATAAAAAGATTGATTAATGAGTTTAAGAACTAAAATTGAAAGGACAAAGAGATGGTCAAACTTAGAAAAAAGATGTTGGTGCAGTCCAAACCGAAAAACTATTCGGTAATTGGGTCATATCTAAAGCTGTAGATCTCGAATTTAGATCTACTTTATATAGATGAAAAGGTAAGACATAGGTCTATAATTTTCATGGAGCCTAAGATTTAAAAAAGGTCATTTTCAAGTCCAAATTGTAGCAACAATGAAGAAGCCTGAATCTGTCCTGCAGCTCGAATATTGTTCAGTGTTTGACCCATATCTAGAGTTCTAAAAGTCCAAATGACCTCAATTTTTTTTCCTGAAAAGCTACGACAATTTTCTAGAACTTTTATATTTTTAAATGATTCCAATTCTAATATTATCAATGATGTTTTGGGCAGACAAGAGAAGATAAAGATTGTCACCAAATCAAGAGTTGGCCACCCACTCATCAATTAGTCATTAAATCAATAGTTTCCAATTTTGACCTATAAAAGAAGACATTTACCATGCATTTAGGCATCTTGGTTTCCAAATTAAGATCATGCTCTTGTTTTCTTTATTTGTATTGCTTATGTTTTGCTTTTATTAATATCAATTTTATACATTTCATTTCCTTTCCTTTACTTAGTTAACTTTTATCTTATTTATGTTCTTATTTTGTTTATTTATTTTTCTTTCTTTTCATTATGTTTAGTTAAGTTTATTATGTCAAGGTGAAAAGTTTACAATAATGGTGTAAGAATAAATATAGTATAAACTCAACATGGACTTTAGTGTTTGATACTAACACGTTTTGTGTTTGTTATCTTGTTCATTTTTAATCCTTTACTTGTTAAATGGTTAATCAAGATTTATGTTGTATAACACTTGATATAACAAATATTTGGCACTTTCATAGCTCATACTGTATGGTATAACCAATACCTAAGCTATGAAAGAAACTTCATTTGTTGTTAACATAAGTTATAATCATGAATGTCTAACAATATTTACAAGTATTAGCATTATTCGAATAAGATAACTAATGTAATCATGTCAATAATTTATAATCTAATTGGAACCTCTTTTGTGTGTGGTTTTCAATTGAATAATAAGAGTTTATACTATATTTGTTTGACACACCTTTAGTGGATCCTCTAACCTTGATATTTGTTGTTATCATTATTTAATTCTTATGATAATCTTCCATCTCAAAATTCTCATCAACTTCTTCTTCTTCTTTTTTTTCTTTATTATTATTACTACTACTACTACTACTATTACTATTGTTACTATTATTGTTATCTATAATTTATATAATTAAACTCCTTGTGGTTCGACCCTGATCTTACCAGGTTATTTATTACTTTGACACTCCTACTTATCAATCTTTTGGTCGTGTTAAATTCCATCGAGTTACAACATCTAAACACAATAATTTCTTGTACTCTATATTTAACTTTTCAACACACTTCTTAAATGCAAGTTGCCTTGACGGTGAAGATCTCACAAACCTAAATACATTTTAAATCTTAACAACTGAAACATTATTCTCTTTCAAGTCATTATATATAATAAGAATTACAATGTATGCACAACATCTAACATGTAAATGTTTATTTAACAATATTTTAGTTGGCTAATCTTTCATCATATTTTTATAAAATGAAATAGTCACATTATTAGAGCTTGTATTATCTACTGTAACAATCAAAATTTTATTAATCCCTCATTCTAACATACAATTCTCAATAACTTGATCAATTATCTCACCCAT